TTCAACTATATAATTTACAATGAAGAGATAACATGCAACAATAAAAGGGCAACAAGTTCAACTAAAGCATAGGAGCAATTTTGCAAGTAGGATGTAGAACAAATACTAAACAAGTCAACTAAGGCGTTTAAGGATAATCTAACACAATTAAGGATGATTTGACTATGAGAATTTTGAGCACAATAAGGCATTTCAATTAAAGTATGAAAATAATCTAAGTAGCCTAAATCGGTCAAATACTACGTACAACCTGTGTACCTACTCATCACATTGCGTACAGGGATTTCACTTAGCACAATTGAATCAAGCAATACTAATACTAAGGGGTTGTTCCCCCACACGAAGTTAGGCAAGACACTTACCTCAAATAGGCCAATTCAACACTCGGAAAGAGTGTTTCCCTTAATATCTGCCCCCACATGGCTTAAATCTAATCAAAATCGACTTAGTATTATCAAACAATGCTAGGGAATTCAATTGCAATAGATAAAGTTATGATTTTTACACTTTCCCAAAAAGTCAACAAAAGTCAACTCGGGGTTCGCCCGATCAAAAACCGGGTCTAATGATAGATTTCATCTATCCATGACCCCACGAGTTCATATATGTGATTAGTTTCAAAACCAAATCGACTCTCAAAACTCAATTACTTACTTATCAAGAACTTGACAAAGTTTCATAAATTTCTACTTTGATTCACATGTTTTGATGTTAAAATCTAAGAAATATTGATGGAATTTGATTAGAAATAGATTAGAATCACTTACTAGGGTTTGTTGGTGAAAATCCCCTCTCCAAATCGCCTCCTACCGAGTCTAGTGTTCAAAAATGAGAGAATGAACTCAAAATTCCTGTCTCCCAACTAGTTGATCAGTTGCAGATGTCGCAATTGTGGCACTGAAGGCTTTAGGGACTTTTTGCAAATGCGAAGGTTAGATCGCATTTTCGACCATTGTTGCCCTTGCAATTGCGACAAAATCACGCAATTGTCATCCTATTCCATCCCAACATACTTCACAAATGCGAACACTGGGTTCGCAAATGCGAACCCAGCAGACTTGGTCTGTTTTCGCAATTGCGAACCAAAATCTCGCAAATGCGAGATCAAAGGCCTGCATAAAAACCAGCAAACTTTCAATTCTAACAACACTCCACTAAGCGTCTGAAACTCACCTGATTCCTCGGGGCTCCAAATCAAAAAACTACACAAGTCTAAAAATATCATACAAACTCGCTCGCGCAATCAAAACACAAAAATAACATCCAAAACTACGAAATGAACTCTAAAATGCATGATTTTCAAAGAGAGTTTCAAGAACTTCTAAAACTTCAACTAAGAGTTTGAATCTAATCAAATCAATTCCAAACAACGCCAAATTTGCAAACAATTCCTGAATGCCATAACGGACCTATTTCAAGTCCCAAATTTAAATTTTGAGCTCAATAGCTAAAAGTCAACCTATGGTCAAACTTTTCAACTTAAAATTGCCAAATTTTGACAAATCAACACAAATTCCAATATCAATTATGGGCATACGCCCAAGTCTGAAATCACGATATGAAGCTATCAAAGTCATAAAAACACAGTTCCGGGTCATTTTCACCAAAGTCAAATTTTGGTGAACATTTTCAAATTAAAGCTTCTAAGTCTAGAATAAAGGGTCCAAAAATCTACCCGAAGGCTTCCCGGAATGAAACTAATCAACCCCGCAAGTCATAAAGACATAAACATACAGGTGGAAGCAATAAAAAGGGTAAAGGGGCTCAATTACACAAAACGACCAATCGGGTCGTTACATTCTCCCCCTCTTAAAACAAACGTTCGTCCTCGAACGTGCATAAGGACATACCTGAAGTGGTGAATAAATGAATATAACGACTCCACATGTCGTGCTCGGTCTACCAGGTCGCCTCCTCGACCCGATGACCCCTCCATTGAACCTTCACTGAAGCAATATACTTTGACGTCAACTTCCGGATCTGCCGGTCCAAGATAGCCACCGGCTCCTCAACATAAGACAAATCCTTGTAAAACTGGACTGAGCTGAAGTCTAACACATGAGACGGATGACCGTGATACTTCCGGAGCATAGAATACTGGATGAACTGCAGCTAGACTAGGTGACAGTGCAAGCTTGTAGGCCACCTCTCCAATCCTATCAAGAATCTCAAAAGGTCTGATATACCTAGTGCTCAGCTTGCCCATCTTCCCGAACCTCATAACACCCTTCATGGGCAAAAATCGGAGCAACCCGCTCCCCAACCATGAATGCAATATCGTGAACTCTCTGATCTGCATAACCCTTCTATCTAGATTGGGCTATGTGAAACCGATGTTGAATCAATTTAACCTTTTCCAAAGCATCCTGAACCAAGTCTGTACCCAATAGCCTAGCCTCGCCCGGCTCAAACCAACCCACCGGAGATTGGCACCCCTCCCATACAAGGCCTCATACGGAGCCATCTGGATGCTCAACTGGTAGCTATTGTTGGAGGCAAACTCTGCAAGCGGCAAGAACTGATCCTACGAACCCCCAAACTCCATCACACACGCAAGGAGCATATCCTCCAATATCTGAATAGTGAGCTCAGACTGTCCGTCCGTCTAAGGGTGAAATGAAGTACTCAACTCCACCTGTGTGCCTACCTCATGTTGTACGGGCCTCCAGAACCGTGATGTAAACTACGTACCTCGATTAGACATGATGGATATCGGCACGCCATGAAGTCTGACGATCTCACGAATATAAACCTGAGCCAGCTGCTCTGAAGAGTAAGTAGTCACCACTGGAATAAAATGATCCGACTTGGTCAACCTATCCACAATCACCCATACTTCATCGAACCTCCTCTGAGTCCGCGGGAACCCAACAACAAAATTCATAGTAATATGCTCCCATTTCTACTCTGGAATCTCAAGCCTCTAAAGCAATCCAACTGGTCGTTGATGCTTATACTTCACCTACGGACAATTAGGCACCAAGCAACAAACTCCACTATGTCTTTCTTCATCCTCCTCCATCAATAATGGTGCCTCAAGTCCTGATACGTTTTAGCAGCACTCGGAGGAATGGAGTACCATAAACTGTGAGCCTTCCGAAGAATCAACTCACGCAGCCCATCGACATTGGACACACATAGCATGCCCTGTATCTGTAGCACACTGTCATCCCCGATAGTGACCTCCTTAGAATCTCCGTGGTGAACTGTGTCCTTGATGACAAGCAGATGAGGGTCATCATATTGACGCTCTTTGATACGATCATATAGGGAAGATCGAGAAATCACACAAGCCAAAACTCGACTCAGCTCCGAAACGTCCAATCAAACAAACTGGTTGGCTAAGGCCTGAACCTCCAATGCTAATGTTCTCTCTGCTACCGGTAGATATGCTAAACTATCCAAGCTCTCCGCCTTTTGACTCAAGGCATCGACCACCACATTGGCCTTCCCCGGATGATATAAAATGGTGATATCATAGTCCTTAAGTAACTCTAACCACCTCCGATGTCACAAGTTAAGATCCTTCTGTTTGAACATATGCTATAGACTCTGGTGGTCAGTAAAGACCTCACAAGGAACACCATGCAAATAATGTTGCCAGATCTTCAATGCATGAACAATGGCTGCCAACTCCAAATCGTGGACTGAATAATTCTTCTCATAAGTCTTCAGCTGTCAAGACGCGTATGCAATCACCCTACCATCTTGCATTAACACCGTGCCAAGGCCAACACGTCACTCAACATAATACACAGTATAAGACCCCGAGCCCATAGGCAACACCAATACTGGGGTTGTAGTCAAAGCAACCTTGAGATTTTGAAAGCTCGCCTCACACTCCTTGGTCCATCTGAAAGGAGCATCCTTCTAGGTCAATCTAGTCATAGGTGCAGCAATAGACGAGAAGCCCTCCACGAAATGAAGATAATATATGGCCAACCCAAGGAAACTCGAGATCTCAGTAGTTGAAGACGGTCTGGGCAAACTCTACACCGCCTCAACTTCTTCGAATCTACATTGATCCTCTCACTCGACACCACATGACCCAAAATGCCACTAAATCGAGTTAGAATTCACACTTTGAAAACTTTGCATATAACTTCTTCTCCCTCAAGGTCTAGAGCACGATCTTCAAATATTGCTCATGATCATCCCGAATACCAAGATGTCGTCAATAAACACAATGACGAATGAATCAAAATAAGGCTGGAATACACTGTTCATCAGGTACATAAATGATGTTGGGGCGTTGGTCAGCCCAAATGACATCACGAGGATCTCGTAGTGATCATACGGAGTCCTAAAGGTAGTCTTCAGAATATCCGGATCTGAATCTTCAACTAATGATAACCTGACCGCAAATCAATCTTGGAGAACACCTTGTCACCCTATAGCTGATCAAATATGCCATCAATGTGTGGCAATGGATACATGTTCTTCGTTATAACCTTGTTCAACTGACGATAATCAATACACATTCGCATATATCCATCTTTCTTCATCACAAACAAGACAGGAGCACCCCCACGGTGACACACTAGGCTGAATGAATCATTTATCAAGCAACTCTTGTAACTGCTCCTTTAACTCCTTCAGCTCTGCTGGGGCCATACGATATCAGTACTAGAAATTGGAGCTATAGAAACTCTTTTTATTGCCACGGATCTGTAACATTTGCTATAGATGGTCTGCTGCAACGGTTTCAACCGTTGCGTAAGGTAATTGGTACTATCGGCACAGTTTAGCACCTAAACCGTTGCATTAGTCCAAAAACCATTACAGTAGATTTTCTATGGCAACGGTTTTAGACAACCGTGGCAATAAGTCTATCTATGGTAACGGTTATTTGAAATTTTAATGTAAGGCAACAGTTATGAATTCCCTCTATAATTTCCCCCAAATTTTGGACGGCCCGCTAAATGAGACCCGCTTCTATTATATTTTATATTTAATATTTAATAAAATAATAAAACCTAATAATAATACACACACCGGAGATTACGAGGAAGACAAACGCCTTATCACAAAAAGTTTCAATATCTCTCTCCCAAAAAACCTTCATCAGTTCGCCGGAGATTACGAGGAAGACAACCCACCATCGGCGGCACCGATAAGCTACATTTTTCATCACGATTCCAACTTTATTCTACTATTTTTGTATATTTTCTTTAAGATCTCAGTCATGCCTTCTGTTTTCCTCACTGCCTGTGCGCCGCTGGGCCTTCTGTTTTCCATTTTTAGTGTTTCATAGAAAATGAAGTTGAGCTCTATAATTGTCGAAAATCACTTCTTTTGTCTCAATTTATTTAATTTGAGGTCTTGCAACTCAAATGTGAAATTTTGGAGTGATGTTAATTACTAGTAAAGAGGGGTTGTGTTATCTATATGGAGTTTAGCTTTCTTGAAAGTTGACAAAATGTGAGTTATAAAGATACTGTGATTTGTCCTATAAAAAATTAGTACAAGTATTTAATTTGGACATTTTTAATCATAATTAAGATTTCTGCAACTTTCAAGTTTCTTCATCTATCTTCTTTTGTCACCATCAGAAAGAGATTATGTGATGTTACATCAGAAATGTAATATGGGCATTATTTGATTTCGAATTCTGAAGTTTCCTTTCTTATTGATACCACAAGTTGTCAATGATAAGTGATATGTGAACAACTCTACAATATCTAGCCTCTTATGCAGAGAAGATTAGTCAAGATTAGTCTTCTGCTATATACTATTACTACTTTTCTCTATAGGTAGATTCTAATGGAGATGGTAGAAACATGTCTAAGCTTATTGTTAGTTTCTGCTCTTTCAAAGTTTATTCTACTGTAGAGTCATGTCTGGAGTTAAAATTACTGCTCTTCTTAGTCTGAATTGGCTGACATAAAAAGGTGTGTGATGAATTAGTATATTTTGTCTGACTTTCGAATTTAACAGGGTTCAGAGGATTCACATTTATATCATTATCCCGGTGTGCTGGTAGAGTAAATTCTGTATTTAGAGTTAATTGTTCCAATATTTGATACTAGGAAAACAGAAAGCAGGAAATATTGTATAATCAGACACATAACTACATAAAGTATAAATACAACCATCTATGTGTTTAACTTATAGTAGTAAATTAGTATAGAAGAGTAGAGATTCTTAAAAGCTCACAGTAATGGAGGCTTTACCTGTTTTACAATCGAACTTTGAGGAACTTCAAGGAATCATGGTAATCCAACTTTTTTTCACAGAAAAATTCATAGGCTTACACCAACTAGTCTTCTTCAAACACTGACCAATATATTTATGTAGTTAGTTCTTTTCATTTTTATCAAGAATAAAGTAGTGCAAAAGAATATTTATAGCTTTTATGGAAGGGAAACACCCTGAATCTTGACAAAAAATATGAAAGCAGTAAAGAAATGTCGGTTGTATTATAATTACCAACAAAATCAGAGCTCAAAGACCAAGAAAGTTTGTTATAAGTCATTCTCTTGCCCACACTTAACTATTTTTTATTAAAGGGGATAGCAATATTTTTAAAAATGATTATCCTATAATATTGGGGCAAATCTACAAGGAAGTAGTTTTTCCATTCTCTTTCTTTTTAACTTATTTGTTGCAAGTTCCATAACATAGATATTTGTTGCCAACTGGAACTCTCTTGGAATTCCTTCTCACTGGAGCAGATCATGTGGTTTCTTATTATTATTAGAGTCTTATACAAGAATTGCACCTATATAAGTTTTTGCCTTATTTGACGTACTTTCGTGTAAATTTTGAGATTGGTGAATTGCTAAAAGATAAAAACATCATTGTCAGCGGGGAAACTTCTGTAAACAAGGGTTCATTCAAGTATGAATAAAATTAACTGTTTGGAGTGTTCTGTTTCTGTCTTAGTTCTTATTTTATTTAATATTTTCGGCTTCAGATGCTTTGTTCCCCTTTACTGTTGCCATGTCACATGTTCTTGCTTTTGTATCCTCAGGGTTTAGCTGGAGATGGATTGGTGCATGTACATCATATCCATTGCTGATTACATGTGTGGCCTGGACACCCCATTTGGTTCACTTCTGCATCCTTGCTTAGAAATTTGGAATAGGTAACTTCCCTTTTAGATTAAGGTGAGGGATATCTATGCTACCCATAAAAAAGAGAGGATATCTATGCTTGTGGGATAAAATCAAAATTTTAAGGTACATGGTCAAACTGCAATTGGAGGCAATACTCTCTAAATTAATACCTTTTTCTTCAATTTTGTATTCTCTTGTCGAATGAGGTTTACCTTTTTATAGAGTTCTATATTTTCTTGAGGAATAAGATTGCCCTGCAGAAGCAATATTAATCATTTGGGTACCAAAATTTAAAGACAAGAGAATATGAGAAGTTGTGATAGTTTTTCTAGTAGAACCTTCTGATTTAGTTCTCCTTTTTTGTGTTGGTTGATTTTTATGCTATATACTGTCTTCTTTAGATTCTTGGTCATTTGTTGAAAATTGATGGCCGGCTTAGTTATCTCCTGCTTCTTTTGGCTACGTCTTTGCAGTCTATGGAATTTTCCTAAAGGATTTTCTATGGTTTCCTTCTTACCCAACTCTGTATGTGAGTCTTAGATATTTCAGTGGTTTCTTTTGGTAAAGGAGGAGAAATTCCAGCTAACACGGTTGTTAAATGTGTGGCCTTCCTGGGATTCCAGCTAACATGATTATTTTTGTTTTCATTAGGATATATCAATGTTGTTTAAAGCTGCATCTATGGTCAACTGTGATAAATGTCCCTTTAAAGAACTTTCTACTCAACGTGCACACCTAGTAGTACTAAATGATGGAATTTTTTTCGGGATTCAATTCTTTCTATGTGAAACCTTTTATATGAAAAATGAGAAGGATATACTGTAAGATCTATGTCATATATGATCTGCTACTTTTGTTGATTCCAAGTATTCAAAGTTTCTGTATCTGTGCTATTGCTAATACATAAATCGAAGTCAGAATTAAAATCATTATTGGCAGTAGTAGTAGCAGCAATATCTTTGTGGCAAAGATTATGGGAAAAAGAGATTCTTGGACTTGTGGCTAAACTTGGAGCTTCAGAGATCTTATCAATGGCCATGGTTTTTGTTTTCTTGATTCAATTATTGAAAGGACAGAAAGCAAAAAAATCTAATGTGGTGGGATAGTCGTGGTAAGAGGACAAGATTCAAATGTGATGTGGGAACACAGCCTAACATGGTCCTTGGGCTTTATATATTAGCTATTTGAATTTCTACAAAAATTCAATTGACTTGGTCGTTGAAACCAAGTGAACCTCTCCCCTACTGTTAGTTGCATGATGTCGATACGTTCATTAAAATGAGTTGAGGCATAGTCATCCAACTCGTCAACATAGGTCGTCTCACACTGCTGCTGTTGTGATAACCAAAAGAATCACAACAAGATTCTCAAATATTGTTGATTCTGTCATGAGGTTATTTTTCTTCTCATCCATTTCATACTCAACTTGATCTTCAATTTCATTGTTCTTGTTTTCATCACTATCTGAACCAGTTGCTGATGTTTCTTCACCATTTGTTATGGTCAAACATGGCCAACTTGGAAGACTTGAACTTCTTGTTGTAGTTTCTTTTTGTTATACAACTACTATTGTTGGTTCTGGAGTTTTTATGTTCTTTTCTTTTTTCATGGTAATTTGTGCTATGAGTATTCTTAGACCGGATTCTCTTGAAGGGTAATAACTTTATTTATCCTCTTTTGTAGGTGGAGTAGATCAAAAAATAGATAATGAAGGCACTGAAGAACTAGACCTTACTTGAGATGAATTTTGAATTGTTATAGATGAATGTTCTAGGAATCTTTTGTTATCAACATTTTTGAAACTTACTCTCTTGAAATGTACTAAACTTATGCACTTGGGGTAGAACATTTGCTTTATGGATATTATTTGCTTGATGGATAATTTTATATTATTAATAGTTTCATTTTATGATGTATTTAAATTTTAGTGTTATTATAATTTATTATATATATAAATATTTATTTATTACATGTGCTATATTTTGGTTTTAATTGAACTGATACAATAGCCTACCAGAACTGTTGTAGTAGGACACAAATGACGTTCCATTAGATAATGTAAACCGTTGCAATAGATCCTATAAACTGTTTCAAAATGATATATAAACTGTTCCAAATACAAATATAACCGTTACGATAGCTTAAAGAACCCGATGTTATATCCATACATAACCGTAACAATAGCTTACATAAGTGTTGCATTAAATAATATGGTAACGGTTAAGAACTGTTGTATAAACAATAAAGTAACGGTTTTAAACCGTTCCAATTGAAAAAAATAATCGTTCCAACAGAGAGAAAGGGAAAACTGTTGTGATAGATGTATCTATAGTCACGACGATGCAAACCGTTGCAAGAACTGTTCCTATAGACCTATGGGCACGCGGGTTGATGTAACGGGCGGTAAACCGTTCCAATATCTCTATGGCAACGGTTTAACAACATGTGGGAACGTTTTTTCAAGCGTTACCGTAGACCAATTTTTCAGTAGTGTATGGTGGAATAAAAATGGGCTGAGTGCCCGGCAACAAGTCAATACCGAAATCGATATCCCTGTTGGGCAGCATGCCCAGACGATCTGTTGGGAATACATCTAGAAAGTTTCTCACTACCGGAACTGACTCAATGGTAGGAGTGTCAGCACTGACATTCTGCACAAAGGCTAGATAAGCATTACACCCATTCTCAACCATCCACTGACCCTTTAGAAATGATATAACCCCGCTTGGAACGTAATCTAATGCACCCCTCCACTCTAACCGTGGTAAACTTGGCATAGCCAGCATCACAGTCTTGGCGTGACAATTAAAAATAGCATGATAGGGCGATAACCAGTCCATGCTCAAGATAAAATTAAAGCCTACCATACTAAGTAACAACATATCAACTCTGGTCTCAAAACCACCAATAACAACTAGACACGACCGATATACACGGTCCACAATAATAGAATCTCCCATAGGTGTAGACACATAAACAAGAGAACTCAAGGAATCACGCGATATATCCAAATACGTAGCAAAGTAAGATGATACATGAATAAGTGGATCCCGGATCAAATAAGACCGATGCATCTCTATCGCGAACTGGAACCATACCTGTAATAACTGAATCTGAAGCAACTGCCTTTGTCCTACTAGGATGAGCATAAAATCTGGCCTGACCTCCCCCGCTAGACCTCTACCCGCATATCCCCCACCCCTAGTTGGCTGAGTAGGTGGAGCGGCAACTGGGGCAACAATCATGGCCTGAGAATTCTGCAGACCTGACTGAATCCGTGAAGACTGAATAGTCTGGGAAGGTGCACCCCTACTGAGTCTGGGGCAGTCTCTGACCATGTGGCAGGTATCACCACAGTCAAACAAAACTCTTAGTGGGTTGGAGGCTGGGATTGACTCGGGCCTAGTCGGTTGGACAGACCGCTGAAGGCACTCCGTGCATGAGATGCACTAGAAAGTAGCTGAGCAAAGTGTGCAACCCGGGACCTCCATACAACCAAAGCACCACTAGAATCTAGAAGTGCTAAATGAACTGGGTAGCTCACATAGCCCCTACCATGACAGGCTCAAACTGTAGCATTACCACTACTAAATCCCCTTGTGCCATGAGGCCTCTTGGCCTCCCTATCCTCTCTATCGCGGTCTCGCATACCCGCCAACCTCCATGCAATCTCAACCATCTATTGATACGGAGTGTATGGCTCCAAATCCCTATCCATGCTGAATCTAATACTCTGGTTGAGCCCCTCGATGAATCGACGGACGTGCTATCTGACCGTAACAACCAAGGCTGGTGCATGTCTGGATAAATCACTGAATTGGACAGCATACTCTGATACTGACATCGTACCCTGGCGCAGCCACTCAAACTCTGCACGCCAACCATCCCGAAGGGTCTGAGGAATAAACTCTCTCAAAAAAACTCTGAAAACCAATCCCATGTAAGTGATACTGCCTCGACTGGGATACCCACCTTGTTCGCCCGCCACCACTGATATGCCGCTCCCTTCAGCTGGGATGTAGTAAAAGAAAACTCACTCGTCTCCACAATGCCCATAGTGCGGAGAATACGGTGATACTCCTCAAGTAAACCATGTGAATCCTATGGAGCCAAACCACTGAAAGTAGGAAGGTGGTACTTCTTGAGCCTCTCGAGCCTGAGCTGCTCCTCCTCAGATACTACTGCCCTAACCACAGGCTGAACTGGAGCAACAGGCTGTACCGGTATAACCTCTAGGATATGATCAACATGGACCCGCTGCTCTGGGGTACGGGCCGCGGGAGTCTGTTCTCCTCCCCCAGCCTGAGATGTGGCTAGTGCAGGTGGAATCAACCCCCGTCTGAGCTAAGGTACTGGACATGCTCAGGAACTATGCAATGGTCTCTTAAAGTGTTGGGGTAGCAATAGGTGCCTCGGGTGTTTGACCCCCAACCGGAGCTACAGGTGGCTCATATGTCACTGTTCGAGCAGGTGCTCTAGCTACACCTCGTGCCCGCCCTTGGCCTTTGCCCCGGCCCCGACCTCTCGCGGCTCTAGCATGGGGCACGGGTGTCTGATTGTCGGATCCTACGGTGTGTGTCCTCACCATCTGTGAGAGAATAGAAAGTCAAAGATTTAGGTTTGAACTCAACCAATTCATACGATAAGGAATCAAAGAAGTGAAGTTTTCCTAATAGTTCTATAGCCTCTCGAAGATAAGTATTAAACCTACTTATGACTCATAACACCTATGTACTAGAGCTCTGATACCAACTTGTCACGACCCAATTTCCCTCCATAGGAAGTCATAATGGCACCTAGTCTCTACGACTAGGTAAGCCTTATATTTGATAGCAATTAAGCAAATGTAAATAACAAAATAATCAACCCAGTTTGATAAACTCATATAACTACCAAAAACTAAATCTCAACCATACGATTCCCAAAAACTGTGGAACAGAGTCATAAGCACTATGGAGTAACTAAAATATCTGCTACATCACTGTTTGCGGGAAAATACAACAGTAACTAAGAATAAGGGAAATGAACTCCGAGGCTTGCGGACGTCGCTCAGGCATACCTTGAAGTCTCTGGTAAATGCAGCTAGCAGGAAAATCTCTATCTACCGGCACTAGAAGACGTACTTGGATCTGCACTAAAAGATGTGCAGTAGCATAGTATGAGTACACCACAACGGTACCCGAAAAGTATTAAGCCTAACCTCAATAGAGTAGTGACGAGGCCAGGTCAAGACACCTACTAGGATATGAAATATACAGTATAAAATGAAATACGTATATAAAATGGAAAGAAAGAAAGCAACTAATACGGAACAAGATGATAGCATGATCTAGTATCGAAAAATCAACAGTAGAAATAACATAAAAGAAGCAACTAAAGAACTACAATGATCATGTACGGACAACAACTGATATAACACCACGGAATGAACAACAGATCTATTTTCCCACCAAAACACTTTGCATCGTTAAATAACAACAAGAATCACATCGAGGTACCACCTCGTTTATAATGAAATCAAAATCGAGGTATCGCCTCGTATAATCAAGAATCACAACTGAGGTACCGCCTCGTATTCATTTTTCTAAAGTTTAAATCACAATCTTTCCTTATACAACCGCGTGAGCCCTACAATTGAAAATAGGTTTTGAAATAGTTTTCCCGAAATAGCTACACGCACTTTAGCACACCTTATGACGCCGCGTGGCTTCACGTAGTTCACCGAAAAGCAATCACGCACATAAGTCCCACCTTATACCGTCGCATGCACATCAACCCAAGTCTTATATCGCCGCATGCGCATAAATATCATATCAAACTAACAACTCGCACCACAAGTGCCCACATATCACAACTTGCCAACAACAACAATATCAATATTTCCACAACAATAGCCCATTGCTCCACCACAACGTATACAAGAATACCAACAACAATAATGCATGGAAAATTCTCAATAAGATAGATATTTCAACAATAACCAAAATTGCCTCAACATATTAACGACTTTCACAAATTCAACACCAAATAACTCAACAATGAGAAAATAATGTATAACCACGATATTAGATAAGACTCACTCACAATAGAGGAAATAATCTTCAACAATCAATCATAAATAATGGGAGTCAACAAGTAAATGGGACAACATGAAGAGTTAATTCAACTATATAATTAACAATGAAGAGATAACATGTAACAATAAAGGGGCAACAAGTTCAACTAAAGCATAGGAGCAATTTTGCAAGTAGGATGTAGAACAAATACTAAACAAGTCAACTAAGGCGTTTAAGGATAATCTAACACAATTAAGGATGATGTGACTATGAGAATTTTGAGCACAATAAGGCATTTCAATTAAAGTATGAAAATAATCTAAGTAGCCTAAATCGGTCAAATACTACGTACAACCTATGTACCTGCTCATCACATTGCGTACAGGGATTTCACTTAGCACAATTGAATCAAGAAATACTAATACTAAGGGGTTGTTCCCCCACACGAAGTTAGGCAAGACACTTACCTCAAATAGGCCAATTCAACACTCGGAAAGAGTGTTTCCCTTAATATCTTCCCCCACACGGCTTAAATCTAATCAAAATCGACTCAGTATTATCAAACAATGCTAGGGAATTCAATTGCAATAGATAAAATTAAGATTTTTACACTTTTCCCAAAAGGTCAACCAAAGTCAACCTGAGGCTTGCCAGGTCAATACCCGGGTCTAATGGTAGATTCCGTCTACCCATGATCCCATAAGTTTCTATATGTGATAAGTTTCAAAATTCGAATCCAAATTGACTCTCAAAAAACTCAATTTCTTATTTTTCAAGAACTTGACAAAGTTTCAAAATTTTCTACTTTGATTCACATGATTTTGATGTTAAAATTTGAGATATGTTGATGGAA